CGATGTATACTTGCCTGTCGTTGCCCAGGTCCTTCAGCAGGCATCGGCCGTCACAGCCAGTACCGACGTATCTCTGGAAATGTTTGACTACATTGTCTCGCTTCGTGAGGGCATCATGGATGCCTGGGGTGGTATCCTTCTGACCTACAAGGGCAAGCCCCAGGGTACGTAGTGATATCTGATTGATGACACTTGACTTATGCTAATAATGTCGCAGCCGCTCAGCTCCAGCCCTATGTTGAATCAATTTTCCAGCTCCTCCACCTCATCTCGCAGGATATGAGCCGTAGTGAGGGTCTCATGAGGGCATCTATGGGCGTTCTTGGGTATGGCTTCTCCCGCTCATTTTTTTTTTTACCTTTTTTCTAACGAGCTTCCAGTGATCTTGCAGATACATTCCCCAATGGGGAGTTCGCCAGCTTCTTCCGCAATGATTGGGTCACCGCGCTTGTTAGGGAGACTAGGAACAACCGGGAATACAGCCCTCGTACAATTGACACCGCTCGGTGGACACGCGAGCAGGTCAAGCGTCAGGTCAACTTATCCACGGCGGCTGCCATGGCTTAAATGCATTCTATCCCGGCCATGCTACACAACCTTTGCTGTTAGGACACGGCTCCCCTTGCACTGAAAGCACTTTACATAAGGTGCCGCATGGGAAGTCACGCCGTGCCCGTTGCCCGTACCCTTGATGTGAGAACAGTTCACTGAGGGCACTGAACATCAGCATGTACATGTTGCAAGCTACTTGTTCCTATCCACGAGCGCATCGCACGTCGGCACTCATGGCAAACCGCCCTACCCTGATATGATCGAAGTTCTTTTGAGCTGAAGTATCACGCCCCTACGATCCGATTCAACCTTTTTTGCCCTATTCCTCCCTATTCCCAATTCCCCCAACCATGCAGGCATCCGCTGGGCACACTGTTCTTTTTCGGAATCACCCTTCACCTTCACTCCCTGTTATTATCTTCTGGCCTTCCTTCCCTTCTCCCCACTTTATTACTAGCACCATTTCCCCTTGCCTTCCGCTCCATTTTTCCCTTTCCTTATGGCGGTTTTAATTAGACCAAGATTCTCCCTAGCATTTTTGCGAACGTCATGTATGCCCCAAGAAGTCATGTAACCCCTTCCAAGAGAAACATAGCGATGAATCCCTTTTGACACTGAAAGTCCCGTATAATCCTGCCCTTTCTCACATTGAAGTGTGATGGAAAAATCTGTATAGAGGAAATGATACATTAATAAACGTATGAGTAGCCAACATATTACTCGCTTCGGCTGAATCGTTCTGTGTATTGGCTATGTAATATTGCGGTCTCTCCCACTCCAACCAACCTTTTCCATGTTCAAAAGCCCCAGTCTCCCAATTTCTTACTCTCACTTTCCCCTCTCCTCACTCACAAAGAAGAAAGAACAAAACAACAACAACAAAAAAAAGACGACCGATAATGACGGATGCAGAGAACACGAAGCTGTCCTCGACAACACCAATGGCAGGTTCAGTCTCAGCCTTAGCAGGCACAGACACAAACGCAAACGCAGACGAAATCATGCGCCTTGCCATCGCCCGCTTCCGTAGCAGAATGGCCGCCGCAAACCAAAAGTTCCTCCAGGACCTCATCAATGAAATCGAAGCGAAAGGTCTAGCAACTGAAGAGGAGAAGCGCCGCCGGCTCCGCAAGTACCGATGGATGAACTATCTCGAATGGGACGACGAAGACCCCGAGACGCGTGGGAAACGTGGTGGAATCCGAATCCCCCAGGAGACGTCAGTCGCCGACCTCGATATCCCTACTATTCTCAACGCCCTGCCATCCCCTGAACCAGTTGACGGTGTGCTCCCGCCCCTACTGCGCACAGAGCAGTGGCGGCAGATGTACCTCAATACAGTTCAGCGTGTGTGCCAGGGGCAGGCGGACGCGATCGTCCCTGAAGACGAGGTGGAGCTTGACGTCGCGTGTAATTCCCACAAAGACCACAGGCCGATGACTATCCCGCGGTGTGACGAGCTAGCCCTGTTCCTGAAGTATGCGCAGGGGGTGGTGGACATTGACTTCCGGCTCTCGGGCATTGGGCCGTTCACGCCGGCTTGGTCAGCTGGGGTCAAGGACGAGGAATTGGACAGACTTAAAGAGGGACAGAGATGCAACAAGTTAGCAGATCTGGAGCTACTAAAGCGTGAACAAGAGGGCTTGCAGCAGATGTTGGAAGATGAAGTGTTCAATGGGTGTCTGGAGGCGTTTGTCGATGAGGACCTAGAGGTCAGGGCTGGCTTTATCACTGGCATTGGATTTAACCAGCGGTATGGATGCCCGGCGTGGTATAGTGCGTATGCGTACTGCCGGCTGTTGACAGATGACGATGAGGATGATGACATCCAGGATGCTGCCAACATCCGGGACTGGGGGTGGCGGGTGGTTGTTTTTCAGGCTGAGATTAAAAATCCTAGCATTCTGTACGGCCGGAAGGCGCGCTTTGATTCTATTCCAGAATTCTTGGATTGGTACGCCAGCTGGCTGGACCATCTAGATGCACAGGGGTTGCTTTCTCTGCGGCGCCACGCTGAAGGGTGTGAGACGGACTGCGAGTCAGACTGTGAGGATCATTGTTGAATTATAATACTGCTTACTGAATTCAGGGCCTCCGTTCTACCTAATTAAACGTACGACCGATGGACATTCATCACCACCAATCATCCTATTGGGATACCCAACTGCTGAGCAAGAGGTATCTAAAACAACATCATTATCTATCTAGCCTTAGCTGTTGGGCTTCACGGCCCCATTGTACAGCCAGGTTGTGTGGTTCGCACCGCCGTGGTCTGTCTGCTCTTTGACTCTGGGTCCACATCTCTGTCTACTTACTTCCAGATCCTAGTCCTCAAGGGCGCCAGCAATGGCTCCCTGGAAAATTTTACCCTGTATGTGGCGGTGTCTCCCGCCTCTCGACCTCTTGTTCTAGTATTACCTTTCTCAAAGCTTCTGCTATGAGGGGTTTCTTCCACAGCCTTCACTTTGGAAAGCCTCCTTATCTTTAAAAAAGTTGATCTCGAATATGCATACGTGAATGTGTCTCGATCCGCTCGGCAGTTGAGACTAGAGCATCATGGCTAATCAAAGCTTGCTAATATCAATTAATCGAAAATATCAAGTGCAACGAATAACGTTGAGGTATCTAAGTGGTATGTACTCATGCCTAAGAATAAAATAAATGGCAGATATAACAAATGGGTATCCTTGCAAATCATAACCATTCCAGGACGCCTTGCCAATGCTTGCTAGTTTCATCCAGCTGCTGCTGGATTAATTTAAATCAGGTACTGATAGACTTGTGGTCCATCAAATGCGATGACAGGTTGTCATACATAAAAACTGTAATATTGCGGTCTCACATTCTCTGTTTGCCTTAATGCCTGAGGCATTAAGTGGGCTGTGGTCACTATCAGCAGGTGACTGATAAGGGCACAATAACGGAAACCCTAAGCGCGCACATCCGCGAAAAACCTCTCCGTCTTTTTCTTACCACCGAGCTCGATCCTGAATCAACCTCCTGTCCTCACCAACGCCGTCAATTCGACCTCGAGGTATGTTCCGTTCGCTATTGTCAATTCATTTGCAGCCCCCCAGCTAGTCTGGGAGAGCAATCACCATCTCGTCTTGGCTTTTTTTTGTCTCAATTCGGTCAAAATGGCGACCGAGAACAACGAAGCCAAAAGAGACAGTGTGATACGCTTCTCTCATCCCGACACGGGCTTAAGAACCCCTGGGGGGCACTCTTTGCGCTCGAAGACTACTGGTGGCTGACTTGTTTTCTCTCTTCCGGGAGCAAAATTTTCTCGAGCCGGGTGGATCCCGTGCGCTGAGAAATTTGCTTCCCTAGAGGGTTTCGACTTATAGATACCTCATTTCTACATTTCCTCGATTTGAGAATCTCAATAAACCGTCAAAATGGTCAAGACTTCCGTCCTTAACGATGCGCTCAACGCCATCAACAACGCCGAGAAGGCCGGTAAGCGCCAGGTTCTGATCAGACCTAGCTCCAAGGTCATCGTCAAGTTCCTCAGCGTCATGCAGAAGCACGGTACGTTCTGTCTTTCACCTTCATACCATCATGAAGAAAGGGAGGTTTGGAAACTTGCAAGATCTGGGGAGGACAAAATCATTCGGGTTGATAACTAGGCGGCGGTTTCGAATCTTAACCCACTCTACAACGTCTGCCCTTTAAGTACCCGATATATTGAAGATTGTTTCATCGAAACATGTGAAGATCTTACAAGTTTCCAAAACCTCTTTCTTTGTGTTTGGCAGCCTTTAAATCTTCGCTACATCCTTACTGACTTGCTATCAGGCTACATTGGCGAGTTCGAGGAGGTCGATGACCACCGCTCCGGCAAGATCGTCATTCAGCTCAACGGTCGTCTCAACAAGTGCGGTGTCATCAACCCCCGCTACCCCGTCCAGCTCCCCGACATTGAGCAGTGGGCCGTCCAGCTCCTGCCTTCTCGTCAGTTCGGCTACGTCGTCCTGACCACCTCCGCCGGTATCATGGACCACGAGGAGGCTCGTCGCAAGCACGTTGCTGGCAAGCTCCTTGGTTTCTTCTACTAGACAACTCCGTCAGAATTGAAATAAAAGTTTTGAGGTCTTGTCTCTGTGTCGGAAATAGCATGGCTTTGGTTTGATGTAGGAGCGAGGAAATGCTCGATGGTCGAGGCGTCTTGGCGAGCAGTTGAGGATAATACCCTGGCAGAAACGCCATAGATAGTTTTACTGGAGTGTGAAACTTGCACCTATCTCAATTCAGTCGGCTATTCTGTCATCTTTCTTATCCTATGCTCTTTAGCGCGTAAACCTCTCGACGTAGGCCACATCCGGACCGAGGTTCACTTCCACCGCCGGGCTTCGTTTCGTTCCCCGCAATTCTCAAGAGTGGTTGACTGTCCTCGTGTTGATATTCCTGTAGTTATCTTGTATCATCCGCTTCTCGACTGCTGCAACATGCCCTTGGACACAGTATATTTGACGCGTCATGGCGTATGTACCTTGAGTCAGAACACCCATTTCCATCCGGATCACTAACACCATCTCCTCCAGCACCGCCTCAATTGGACCATCGACCACAAAACAGGCACATACAAAGCCCTGTTCCCAACTCCAACCGGAAATCCCGCCGACCCAACCCTAACCTCCCATGGCGTCCGGCAATCGCACGAGCTGGCCGCGCACATCGCAAGCCCAGGGTTCCAGCCTAAGCCGTTCCGCGTATACTGCAGCCCCTTCTACCGCTGTCTGCAGACGATCCAGCCCGCCGTCGAGGCGCTAAAAGCAAAGCAGCAGCAGCAGCAGCACGAGCAGAGCAGCGATATCGAGCCGGGCGCGGACTTTGACGTCAGGATCGAGAATGGGATAGGGTAGTCGCGGCACCTCTCCCTCCGAACCTTACCACGGTTATAGAAGATACACTTGCTAACGCAGACGCATATATGGATAGGGAATGGTTCGGCCCAACCTCCTTTTTCCAACATCCCTCCCCTGCCACACCTGCAACCCTCCATTCCCACTTCCCCAGCATCCTCCCGTCCAACCCCTCAAAGCACAACCCGCACCTCATCCCCTCACCCCGCGGCGAGACCATCGCCCAGCTGCACGATCGTCTCGCGACCGCGCTGGCAGGCATCATCGCCGACGTGGACGCCGAGATCGCGGCCCTGGAGGCATCGCAGCGGCCCGACCAGCGCACCAGCAAGGCGCTACTTATCTGCTCGCATGCGGCGCCGCTGATTGCCATGGGCCGGGCGTTGACGGGCGCGATGCCGGAGGATAGCTCGATGGAGGACTTTTTTGTCTTTACGGCTGGGTTGAGTACGTTTCGGCGGAGACGAGACGAAGTTGGTACCCCTGGGGCTGGGGCGGAGGTGTCGACTACGGAGTCGTTGGCTGCAGGGACGAAGATCCTGCGGGCTGAGACGAGGGTGCCGGATTGGCGGGGTGGGAAGGGTGTTGGGGGTGGATGGGACTGTGTGAAGAATGGGGACTGTGGGTTTCTCAGTACGGGCGCTGAGAGGGGCTGGTGAGTACTTCCTTCCACCGTTGGGTTCCAGTGTCAGGAGTAGGACTAATGTGTCGATGGATAGGCACTTCAATGGAGAGGAGTCGTTTGATACTGGGCCGATGGCGCCGCCGTTCGAGGTTCCTACCGCCCCTCAGGATACGGCATCAGCGAAGCTCGGCCTGAAGTTGTGAATAGAGCATTGGGGTTGGCGGGAAGAGATTCTCTAGCAGATACCATAGACCAGGAACGTAGAGCCAACAGGTTTTGATCTAGTAAACTAAAGAAAAATACCTGTTACGCAATTTCAACTATGGGTAGACATGTCAATGCATTTCGACGTATGTGCTATTCTACATCAGAATAATCGAAATGCAGGCTAGCTAAAGAACGCTCATGCGATAGCTCAACGCTAATGTCAAAGAAATGAAACTGTTCGCTCATTCGTCACGCTCAAGGGGTATCAAAGGCTCTGATTGATTCGTAGTCATGGTGGTCTGTTCGGCTTGCTCGACGCGCGGCTCATTTGCGCCATTCGCTTCCTCGTGAGACTCCTGCCGCTCGGCACTGTTTTCGCCGTCGTTCGCGGTCTCCTGTTGTCTGCGACGCTCCTCTTCTTCTCGTGCGAGCTGCGCGTTACGGGCTGCCTCGGCTGCATTTCGCACCTCAATCTGTCTTTCGCCCACTCCGGGAACCAGACTGGCAATGAACAGCGCTGCAGATCGTTCCAATCGCCGGACACCCTGGCGGAGCTGGCCGGGCTGGGTGGCACGATTGCCGTGGAGCATGCCAGTGCCATTCACAGCAGCCTGGGCGCCATTATTGTCAGCAGCATCAGGAGCTACATGTAACAATCCCTCAAGGTGACGCTGGAGAGGAGCGACTGTCATGTTGAACAGCTGCCGCGGAATACTGGTCTCGGAAAGAAGAGAGGCAACCACGGCTAGCGTAACATATAAGACTCGCAACCAAGTTCCTGGCTCGCTGAACAGGTAGCAGAAAAAATACAGGCGAACGAAGAGCCAGATGCGTCTAATATACCTGGACAGATCAACCTGTCCATTGTTCACCGCTCGCTGGTTTAGCACAGCTTGCCGAACAACATTTTCCAGGACTACAGCCTCCTGATTGGCGCGGAATCCTGCTGGTTGAGCTGCAGCCTGCACGGGTGTAAACTCAGGAGTCTGCGACGCATGGAAGGAAGCAAGCGACGCCTGAATTGAATTTGTCGCGCCCGGAGACGCGACTAGAGCTTGATATCCACCTGGCGACGATAGAAGGTACAGAGGAGGGCGCTCCTGTTCCGCGTTTGAAGAAGGGTTGGTAGCGAGGTGAAATTGTTGCAATCTAGACTGCGTAATGCGAAGTTGATCCGCGCGAGTGTAAACGTTAAAGATACGGGAGAGCAACGCTTCAATGTTTCCGTTGCGCTCGGCACGTGGATCACTGTAGAGATCGTCTAGCATTTCGCAAAGCTGATTACGAATACGAATGATTCGTTCTGCCGGAGGTGCGATTCCCAGTTGAAGCTGGTCCTCAACATAGTTCACCTGTAGCTGTAGGACATCTAGACGAGCACGGATATTCGTGGCCTGAATCCCCGCGGAGGGCAAAGGACCAGTGGGCCAAGACCGGGGTTGGGGAACGTATGAAGGGCCCAGTGGCCCATGAACTCTTGTTGACCATCTCGTAGGAGGATAACCCGACTGAAAGACAACCGTCCGTTGTTGTGCGCCTGTTTGCTCTACGGAGGGAGTTGAGGTTGCGACCCCCTGCGGGCCCGATCTCGGTTGTGGAGCGGCGGTCCGAATTTGTCGGCGAATCTGGTCTATGTTACGCTGAAGGGCAAGTCCGATCTCAGCTTCATGTGGCACGCCAGTAGGTATCGAGCCCCTTTGTCTGAAATTCTGAGTAGAAGTCGGAAGGGCAGAAGACCATGCTCTATTGAGAAAAGGGTCTGGTAGGCGGCCAGTTGCAGGGGGTTCGGAAGGGGATGGAATAGAGGTTCTAGCGGAGCCGGCGGTGGAGGGCGGTGGGAGAGCAAGATGCATGGAATATTCTGTACTCTAAGCGTTTCCTCAATTGTCAGTGGCTATTCCAAATGCGAAAGAGGCTCAGCCAAATGAAGGGGATTGGCGTGGAGCATACATCCATGGGGCCCAGGACACTTTCCAGTGTCATAGCATCGTCTAAAAGTGCCCTTCCGCGCCAGATCAATCTCTGATTACTCGGCGCTGGACGACTTGGTATTGATTCGGTCAAGCGAGCCTTGAGACCAGCCACAGTCGTAGAGAGGGGAAGATCATCGAAGGTGAAGCGATTGGGTAGAGACGGGCAGAGCACATGCAGGGTGATGCTGCGCGGACCGGTCTCCGACGCTGCAGATGGTTGATCAGAAGAATTGGACGCCATAATCTGGAAACTCCAGGTTTCTGCTTTCGAAAGTTTGACCGAAAGGTAGCTGCCAGGTGCTCATAATCCTCTCAGGCACATACAGCGTCGACGCTGTACCTGTCGTGAAGGCTGAGAAATGATGACAAGCGATCAGAATTTGTAAAGTCGAGACCAGAGCTAAGTATTCAAACAATAAATTCAAATGGAATATTCATTCTTCGCTTGGTCGGAAACAGGTTTAAAAGAAAGAAGAGGGGACTATCAGAGCGGAGCGCGGAGAGAGACCGGCGTTGAGGATGATGGTGTCCTTTTCATCAGCCAGTCGGTCAGTACCCCACCGTACGGATGTAGAGACTCAAACAGAAACAATTTAATAAGCTACCAGTTGCAAATGGCCCCATGTACTCAGAGACAGAACAAGGTAGGAAAGGAGGGAGAAAACTAATGGAAAAGATGGGATAAACAACACACGCTGCAGAGCATCGAAGAAGCCGATAGACTTGCTTATTCTGCCGGGCGGTGGGCGTCGCATGACGCAAAACTTAAGAGAAATAATAAATGCATACAGTTTGGTTGACAGGAATCCATCTCATCTCAGTCTGCTTGTACAGGACACCACATACATCATCGCTATCTGTTCTCCCGTAAAGGGATGATGTCTCTGGAGTAGATCAGTGATTATGGCCCTGTGCCTCTCCAAGTGTTCTGCGCCCTTTCGCCGGAAGCTCACGATTCCCCCTAATGAGGGCGGAGCTGCAGTGATGGATATGGTGTCTTTCAGAGCAACTGGCCGACGCAGGACTGGTCCTAGGGAATTTTCTACAAAGTCATGGAAGCAGTACAATGGCCAGAACAACCATGAGCGTTCGTCGCCAAGGGGCTCCTTTGGATCTCGCCTCCGATTTGCCTTGCGAACCACCAAAGTAGAATGGTACCCAATTCCAGTCGGTCTGGGTATCGGTTTGCTCGGTTTACTGCACTTTTACAAGTCACAGCGGGCCGAGCGAGAACGTGCCGAGAGGGAGGCACTTGGAGAGTCCTTTCATTTCGAGAAACCCCCTCCGCGTCCCCGAGTCAGGCCCAGCGGACCATGGCACGTTCAGATCATGTCGACATTGCCTCTCAAGGCAATGTCTCGCTGGTGGGGAGCCTTCAACGAGCTGGAACTCCCTTATTATCTTCGTGTCCCCGGGTTCAAACTTTATTCTTGGATCTTTGGTGTCAATTTGGATGAAGTAGCCGAACCAGATCTTCACACGTATCCGAATTTGGCGGCCTTCTTCTATCGCAAACTAAAGCCAGGCGTTCGACCACTAGATCCCGACTCTCGCGCCATTGTCTCCCCATCAGATGGCCGCATCCTGCAGTTTGGTCTGATCGACCGCGGTGAGGTGGAACAAGTCAAGGGTATAACGTACAGCTTGGATGCACTCTTAGGTGCTGCCACACCATCTTCCGCTGATCACAGCAAGAAGTTTATGAACCACATGGCAGAGCCATCTCATAAAGATGCGGCTAATATATTAGCTGATGAGGAATTTGCCCAAGTGAATGGCATCTCGTATACGCTGCCGACCCTCCTTGCAGGGGACAAGGGAGGGGCACGAAGACGGGCGGCTTCTTTGGACGCATCCACAAAGTCAGAAGCTGCTTCAGAAGAAGCAGTGAAGGCCGACCTTGCTCGCGGTGACGGCTCTCCGTGGTATGCGCCTAAGCCGACATCGAACAATGCTCTCTACTACGTGGTAATCTATCTTGCGCCCGGTGATTATCATCGCTTCCACTCTCCCGTGTCATGGGTTGTTGAGAGTCGTCGACACTTTGCAGGCGAACTATACTCTGTTTCACCTTACCTACAACGTCACTTGCCCGGTCTTTTTACTCTCAACGAGCGAGTTGCCCTACTGGGTCGCTGGCGATGGGGCTTTTTCAGCTATATCCCAGTAGGCGCCACGAATGTGGGGTCCATCAAAATCAATTTCGACTCAGAGTTACGCACAAACAGTCTCACAACAGACACGGCTGCAGACAGGGCTGCAGCACTTGCCGCGCAGAGGGGCGAGCAATATCCCGGATTTGTTGAGGCAACTTACCTCCATGCAAGCAGGACGCTGGGTGGGCATCCCCTGCGGAAAGGAGAAGAAATGGGTGGCTTTCAATTGGGTAGCTCCATCGTGCTTGTCTTCGAGGCTCCGATGGGAACCAGGAAATCATTTGATATTGGTTGGGACGAAGGGAAACGTGAAGGAGGATGGAACTGGACAATTGAAAAAGGCCAGCGTATCAAGATGGGCCAGAAGTTGGGTTACGTGGACATTCAGGAATAGAAAGGGCTCTGACCAGGATAGGTATCGGAGCGGGTTTGATTTCAACAGCGCATCCTGCTCATACTCTTTGATCTGATTTGTTACGGCTGCTCGTCGTTGTATCATAGCATATCTTCTAGTAAATCTGTTTTTAGACGGTTCAACCTGTGGCACTTATAGAGAGGTAGCAATTGAAAAACATCTTGTCATTCCAACTGTATACTCATTGTTTGCAGCACGTGACATCAGGCGCGGAGATGCGATCACTCGCCGACGCGATAAGATCACAAGAAAGTCGGAGTAGATTCCGCGAGAGGGAGCCTTCCGTACAGGTCCTACAACACGAGCTTCTGCAATGCCTTGATAGACGCAAACCCCGAGCAGACTATCTCAAATTCTCTCAAAACTCAAAATGCCTCGCCATCACCTCCTCCGAAGACACCCCGCGCCAGTCCCAGAAACAAACTCCAACGAACCCCCACCGCCACAAACAAGCAGATCGCGACTAGGCCATGGATCTGCTCAACCACAATTCCAGACTCCCCCGTCACGGAATATCCCGCAATTGCATCCTTCATCTGGCCCTGTCGAGATGGCTGAGGCCTCTCCCGCCCACCCTGGTGCCGCAGCGCAAGCTGCGCTGTTTTCTCTGTTCGGGCGGGGAGTTTCTGGCCGTCAGCGAGGGCAGATGATGGATGAGGACGATCAAGATGATGAAGGTGATGTGAGCGAAGACGATGAGGAGGAGGTAGATCAGAGTTATGAAATGGACCATCGGCGTCTAGACCTGGAGCCAGAGGAGGACGAGAGGGATTTCTCCGCAGAGGATATGGAAGGCATGGCTGGCGAGGAGTTGGAAGGCGAAGAAGACGATGATGAATTGATGCACGATCGGGGTAAGCTAGCACAAGGCTCGTCATGCACCGGGGCAATTGCTCACTCTAATTCTACTCAACAGACAGATCGCCCTCGCCGCTACCAAGCAATCTCCGCGAAATATCCTCCCTAGCCTCGTGGACCGTCTCGACACACAAACCAGGCTGCGGTGTTGCGGCCCTCCGTCACTCTTCATCGAACCAGTACTGGCAATCCGACGGGCCGCAACCGCACATGCTAACCCTGCATTTCTTCAAGCTTGTCGCAGTGGTCAAAATCCGCGTCTACCTCGACTTCGAAATGGACGAGAGCTACACACCTACCAAGATGGTATTTCTAGCCGGCATGGGCGGCAACGACCTGGTGGAGTTCGCAACATGGGAAGGCGAAGGACCCTGCGGCTGGGTCGATATACCTTTGGAAGGGGTGGGAGGCCGAGACGGCGGCTGGGTCCGGAGGCGACGGCGGAAGCGCACGCGGACCCGTATCCAGGACGGCAAGAGCAAAGGGAAAGGAAAATCTAAGGGCGTGGCATGGCCAGACTATATGTTTTCGGACTCGGAGAACCCGGTGGAATATGACGAAGCGGCCTACGACTACGACGACGGCGAAAGTGCCAGCGAGGACGACGAAGACGACCCGTATGCTGGGAACGTGCTGAAAGCCATGGTGATCCAGATGCGCGTGACGGAGAACCATCAGAACGGGAAGGATACCCATGTACGTGGATTCCAGGTGTTTGCGCGCGACGACGATCGGCGACGCATGGGCAATGCCCCCTCCGCCTCTGCGGATGGACGGACCCGAAGGCACAGTGCTCGACGGTCTCTTCGCGGAAGTCTCAATGATGGTGGGGCCGAGGGACGCAATCCCAATGGGGATGCTGACGGTAGTAGAGTCGGTGGCCTGGAGGAGCCGGACTGGATGGGGGAGCCTGTAATACGATAGGATTGAGAGTCATGACTGGGTTTTTGCCCTTGCATTTCTTATCATTTGGGGTGGCATTTGTGCAAAATGGTGTTCGCGGCGAGTTCTCATTTCTCAACCAAGCGACAGGTGCATGAGGGCGGGTTTGCTATCGGTATTCTATGTTTTACCCGTTAAGATACCCATTTCTTACCTTTCTTTATATCTACTACATGGAGCGAGAGATGCTATGGACAATCACGGGCCAGTGGCCTCGATATTTTGATAATTATTAAGTACTGTGTCATGTCTATTTTATCCTGACCGAGTCATATCCCATTTGACATTACATGGGACTGAAATTGCTCGTGCGACGAGAAAACCGAAAACCTGCTTTTGTTGATCAATCATTGCTTCAACAGCTTCTCCAGCTCAGCAGCGACAGCGTCGCCCACCTGGCTAGTTGTCGACTTGCCACCAATATCGGCAGTGCGGACGCCGGCCTCGATCACATTGCGGACAGCGGTCTCAATGGCTTTGGCGTCGTTCATGCGGCCCAGGGAGTACTGCATCATCATGGCAACGGAGAGAATGGCGGCGACGGGGTTGACGATGCCCTTGCCTGCAATGTCGGGGGCAGAACCTATTTTACGTGTCAGCATATAAACCTTGGGCTTAATGAGCTGCAGTCAACAAAGAAAGCACATACCGTGAATAGGCTCGTAGATACCGTTGACCTTGGTCTTTCCGTCCGGAATACCGCTCAAGCTCGCGCTGGGCAAGAGACCGAGCGAGCCGGGAATAACGCTCGCCTCATCACTGATGATGTCACCGAACAGGTTGCTGGTGACAACAATACCGTTGAGCTTCCTAGGGTCCTTGACCATGATCATGGCCGCGGAGTCGATGAGCTGGTGCTCGACCTTGAGCTGAGGGAACTCCTTGGCCATGACCTCTGTCACAGTCTTGCGCCACAGACGGCTAGTAGCGAGGACGTTGGCCTTGTCCAAGCTCCACACGGGGAGAGGGGGTTCATGCTGCAGGGCCAGGTGGCCCGCGAGACGGGTGATGCGCTCGATCTCCGCGCGGGAGTAGGGCTCCGTGTCCATGGCGAAGCCGCTGCCGTCGTCCTCCTTGCGCTCGCCGAAGTAGATACCGCCGGTCAATTCGCGGATGATGTTGAAGTCGACACCGCGGCAGACTTCGGGGCGGAGAGGGGAGCCGTCGACCAGCGACGGGGCGGCGAAGTTGCAGGGGCGCAGGTTACCGAATGTGCCCATCTCCTTGCGCAGTCGGAGGAGACCCTGTTCGGGGCGCACGGCGCCAGTGCCCCATTTCTACAGGTTGCGTTAGCTTCCGAGCTCTTCTAGGGGTGTGTGAGGAAGTGTTTACGTACGGGCCCACCAATGGCACCAAGGAGAACGGCATCGGCGTTCTTTGCGGCGTTCAGAGCTTCGTCGGTCAGGGGGGATCCGGTAGCATCGATCGATGCCTACAGGGTTCTCGTGAGCAATTGGCTGAAGAAATGCCGGCTCAAGACGGAGTCACTTACACCACCAAGCAGTTGATCCTGGAGGTTGAAGGTAGCGTCGTCACGGCACTTCTCAATGACACGGAGGATCTAGCATTTGACAGGATCTTGTTAGCTGTTGTGATTATTTGCGACAAAACCAGACAGAGACTGTCTCCGTCGACAGCAACATCTGCAGTCTGCTCACCTTGATTGCCTCGGCGGTCACCTATGGCCAAAAAGTATACTCATTAGCTGTCTGACGCGAGGAATACCTGCTTGCGACCTCGAACTTACCTCCGGACCACAGTGGTCACCAGCAAAAACGACAATGTTATATGACGGCATTATGAGTATACAATTAGAAGAAAACAACTGAACCTTGGGAGATTGAAGAACAATTGCAGGTGAGTGAAGTTGAAATATCCCTTGGGTTACGGAGGGGTGGATGCACCCCGCGCGCCGACACCGGAGACGGAGATCCTTCGATATCCACTTTAAGCCGACTGGACCTGGAGCTATACAGAACACTCGTAATTTTGAGACAGCTACTTGAGGAACGGTAAATTGCTACTGATGATACATAGGCAGACTCATTCCTGGTCATTAATTATCCCAGATACACCCAGCCATAGTGATGATGGTGATCTGCTCACCAGCATTTTGAATATGTCCACTGATTCTCACGAAAACAGATTAAAAAATACTTAGCAGGCGCAGGAAAAGAGCCTATTCGACAAGAAAAAGAGAAGGAAATGGGAAGGAAAGAATTCTAAAAGTGACGCCGGAGCAGGCATCTGTAGTGCGAATATTCACCTGTAAGAGGATCCCACAACCAGATGGACCCCATTGACTGCTTCTTCGTAAGATGCTTTTGAAAGAACCAGGGTGTTCCCTCTAAGCGGATGAATAACGAGAAGCAGAAAGATAATTGTAGCCAGAGCTGCTTCTTAGCCTCAGAATACTGACCGTAGATCGAACCATGTATAAAGAAGCTGGAAGCCGATAAAGTAGAGACAAAGGCTCCGTTCTCGAAAAGCAATTCAATGAAGAAGTGCCGAAATCGAGAAAGAGTACAGGACACGGACAGTCGAGTGCCACCTTGACCTCTCAAGTGAGGAAGGCTGAGCCCCTTGGGCGATGCAGCGCTGGAGTAGTCTACATTGACTTTCCGTCCCGTTCAGCCTTGCGTCTGGCAAGGTCACCTTCAGCAAGCCACTTGCTGGCCTTCACCAGCTGAACGACGTTGATAAACTGCTTCAGAGCCATGACTGGGGCGGAGATTCCAGTGATAACCCAAGGCCAGAAGCTGTCAATCTTGTTTGCCCGGGCAAGCTCCAGAGCTCCGGCGGACCAGGGGCTACCGAGAGCCGGAGGCGCATTGGGGTCTTGAGCTTGAAGAAGAGATGGCGAGAGAATAGGAGACGAGAAGGAGAGCAGGTAAAGACCAATGAAGAAAAGTTCATTGAGGGCACAGCATATAAAAAGTACGGTCTGCAGGCTTTGTCAGTCACCAGATCCTTGATCTCGTAGACCTTGCATCGCACTCACCTTGCTGTGGTAATACTGGTACAGAATCCAGCTTCTGGTAGCCTCAACGTTCTTGTGGCTCTGGCCAGCTCCTCCCATGCTAAGCGTGGCGTACATGTGCATATAATGGCTGGCGAGGTCCAGAGAAATCAGGCTCTGGAAAATGATCGACCACCGCGGCCACGCGGAGCTGAGGAAT